TCACCGTCATCCTAGCCCGTGGTTTCCATCTGAGAGCGAAACAAAGGTAGATAAATATGCATATAAGCTAGCCTCAATGGGTTGAAGGGCTTATATGGTGTGCAGGCATCGTCTTGTGTTGTGTCATCGCGCATGCAACTCAGATCACAAGGGCAAGGCCATCCAACAACAGCGGTCAGTCGGATCCATGACTAGACCGCCGGCCCGCCCCGTCGTGTACTTTGCCGTCCATGCAGCGTTACGTGCGTGCGCGCTCTCACCATGCCGTTTCCAAACTCACGTTGACCATGGCTTCCCTGTTGTCTGCTGTACAGGTGTGCGCGGGCTAGATCATCCGAAATGCGAGGTGGCGACCCGGTATGTTTGTGACATCCATGATCAGCCCAGCTTACTCGTGCTGTCTGTAGCATAGAGATGCTGCTGCGCTGGTACCTCTGTTCAACAACTGGTGACTATGATTCCACTGCGTTAAGGCGGTGATGACCGAGTATAAGTTCATGTAAATTACGTAGATGGTGAATGATATAATACAGTTTTTCTATACTGTATCAAACATCTGGAAGGCATCTCGATATACGCAGCTATGGTCAGTTCTGCTCATATAGAGTCCATCCTGCTCAGTTGTGCTCAGCGCTGCTCAGCGTCTTAGTCGCTTTTCGCTGAGCCCAGCTGACGTGAACTGAGCAGAGCGGCGGTGCTATCTTGCTCAGCTCTGCTCCGCCCTGCTCAGACGGTGTTTCGACTGGGGATCAGGAGTTGCAACGCTCCAGCCGTATAAAGCATTAGTCTCACAGACCGCGATCATAACCTCCGAGGCTAAGGATGCTGCTTGAATTGAATAACGCCAACTACATCGCTATATAGGAGCCCATACGAGGTGCGTCATACGCTCAACGATTGAACTCAGTGATCTCTCAGTCATAGAACGCGGCTCCTTGTATGGCTTTGCAGGTCACTGCCTATTGCTTGTTCGCGTTGATCAGCTCCAATCTATCTGCGAGATGTGGGAGGCTTGCTTTGGGTATTCCACTCTCAGGCCCAAAAATCACCAGGAGGCCGGCCTCCGAATAAGATACGATATCCGATGAGCTTGTGCCATGGTCCACGGCAGACAACTATGCGTATCGACAAGTAGGTTAATGATAGCGACGGTTCTCGGGACTTGCCGGTGGCGTAAGATTTCCGGCACGCGCAACAGTCCACGGTCCACGATGTCATTGAACGCAAAGGAGCTCGGATACATATTCTGCTGGAGCGCCATGCAAGGTCACCGCTGGCAACAGAGCACAGTGTTACCCGACTGCAATTGTTTGTACCTCTTGGGCATGCATGCGGTCCAATGAGCTCGACATGGAGTGCTTAGTTAGTGCTAGGGGCGGTACCGGCGAAGAAGTAGCCGTGGGTGGCAAACATATATGGCTTAGAGAGCCATTCACCATCATCCCAAGACGCGGACCCGCTGCCAAACCGGCAGATTTGGGTCCTACTGCCCAGTATCCTCCGTGTACCGGACCCAGTAAGAATGTGCGCATTTTTCGTAGTTCTGTCCCATCCTTGTGTTGCTGAAAGGTTTATCAAGGCCCGGCACCGACCTACCCTCACCGTGGGCCGTGGTGAATAACTACGCGTTCCGACGGACCGAGGGTGTAACGTATGTCAAAGTCATCGACAGCGACGGTGATTCGTCACGCTGGCCTGGGAATGATACGAAAAAGCCCATTGTGCGGACCTATGACGAAGACGGGAAGATCGATTACTATGTACCACTTGAAAGGGACGTCGCTGAGAACATGGAAGGGAGGCTGGAAAAGAAGGATCATAGATGGAGAAAGAAATTGGGGGGAGCATTCGCTCGTCATGTATTGAACCATGGCAAGGGTGTGTAATCTGATGACCTGGGGGCTAGTTCAACAATGCCTGACGAATAAGATAGATCCTGGAGATGATGACTACGTCGATCCGGACAAGTGCATTCTCGAAGAATTTCCCAGAGGGTACAAAGCCTTTGACCATTACAAAGGCGACCGCGAGGATGTTTATCTATTCGGTAAGACCATCCACAACAGAGTCTTCGCCCACCCTCATGATGGCTGGTGAAAGGGTGTTGCCGTTGCACATCCTTCAGGTCGCCTGAAGAGTTTTATCCCCATCTCCAGTGGTTAGCTAGAGGAAGGCTTGCCGACCCTGGATGTGACTGTCCCTATTGCAGTACTACCTCGATGGAAACGATCGGACGGCGATACTTCGATAAAGAACCCCGACCGAAGAAGCCTAGCCGAGTCGAGGAGAGCCGTCAGTTCCAGCAGGCCCGCAAAGCGATTGCTCAGGACAGTCAAAACTTAAAGGTAGACAAGAAGTTCAACGAAGGACGTCGCCCGGGGCCTCCGACTGGTGCGGCACAGCACCCTGAAGATGCAGCTGCGCCTCACCCTTCGAATGACACTAACTCGGGCGACGACGAACTTCGCTATGAATCTAGCAATAAGTCTTCTAACCATCATTCCACCCTCTCGCCGCCGCCGGCCAGTCGTCCTCGGATCGCACAGCGCGCGAAGGATGCAGTATTGTCTCTCATCAGACCCTTATCCCCGAATTACGACTCTGCATCGCCTGTGGCTGGCCCATCGAGCACTCATCCAACCCATGCAGGGTTTGCCCCTCTTGACGACTCAGAAAGGATCCGTCACTTGGCGGATGTCCGGGAACGACCCCTTATTCTAACCCCTGATCCGAGTTCACAACACACCGGCCCCACGGATCGTATGGTATGAGGCCTCATTACTCCAATCGATTTCTGAAGTGCCTCAACTACTTTATCTGATTTAGGGCGTGTGAACGATTTCATAGGAGTCAATCGCACTAGGTAACATCGGCGCTATGGGGATGGATACCGCCGCAGTACCTTGTCCTGCCGTTGCTGACGACGTCTAGCCTCAGCAGGCAGTGTGACGAGCACGTTTGGTGGTAGCAACCATTGCTTTTGGCTTCCGTGCCTTATAGTACACCCTCCATATGATTCCTGTCCGTAGCTCTGTCCCATGCTGTCTGTAACATTATTGTGAACCGCTACCGTGTCCGTATCCATTTTGGCCGGTTATATGACGACCTTCCGCTGATAAGATGATGGAAGTGTTTTAATTCCTCCTCATGTCGATACAATAACAGGACAGCAAATGAGTGCGCCCAGGGGAAAAACGACTCCCGAAGTCCTCTAATAAAACACGAAAAGCCACAGAATATTGCCTCGCCCAGCGAGCCATTGCCACTTAGAAGTTCTCCTTGCCGAAGAAGAACCGGGTGCCCTTGGGGTTGGAGTACTTGTTGCTCATCTTGTGGAGCACGCGAGACAGGGCCGCGGGACCGCAGAAGAACACACCGACATCCGTCTCCGGGTGCTTGTCTGCGATGGAGCCAAACACGCGATCCCAGTTCGGGCGGCCGAAGTGCGTCGGGGCGCGGAGGGAGGTGATCGCGTCCTTCTCGGCACCGACATCCTGGACGATGATGTTCGTCATGTCGTTCTCGTTGATCTTGGCCGTAAGGTAAATGTTGATCTCGATCCGGTTCTGGGTGTCCTGCTCCTCGACTGCATGCAGAAGAGAGTGGAACCACTCCGCGGTACCGAAGTCACGGATGACCCAAGTGAAGTACACCTTGGACAGGCGTGTCGGCTTGGACTGGTTGAAGTTGTTCATGCGGTACCAAATGGTCTTCAGGATGGACGCGAACGGCGTAACACCAATACCAGCGCCAACGAGGAGCACGGTCTCGAACTTCAAGAAATCTTCCGAGGCCGAACCGAACGGACCGTCGACCATGACACGGGGAAGAACGCGGTTGACAGGCGGGTTGGTGGCGGTTCCGATGACCTTTCCTCCAGGCTCAACCTTCTCGCCCTTGCCCTTCGATTCGAAATCGCAACCCACGGCCTTGGCCAGTGCGCTCGTGAAGTCGCCGACAACACGAATATGGACCGATATGTAGTCTTCCTCGGGAGCGGAGGTGAGAGTGAACGGGTGCCACTGGAAGTAAGAAACCTCAGGGCAGGAGAGGAAGATGTATTGGCCCGCGCGAGTAGTGGTCTTCTCCTTCTTGATCTGGAGTTCCATAACCTTCGAAGGGTGCTGGATGACCTTCGAAATGTAGGTGCGGTGGCGAGAGCGAACTTCACGGAGGACACGCTCGTAGATCCAGATGACACCGCCAACAAGCCAGTAGCGCTGGAAGAAGACAGTTATCAACTAACGCACATATACGCTGTTATCGTCTGAGCTCACCCAGAAGACTCCAATGGTGTTGAACGAGCAGTAAGGAGGCCTGTCCGGCTTGATCATGCAGAACATTCCGTGGAGCTGCCAGTTGATGAAGAAGACGATGAACAGGTGGTGCGAGTACCAGAAGCGCTCGAAGTGAGCACGGCGGCTGCTCTCACGCGCGAACCAGGCCATGATGCCGAGGGCAACCGTCATGATCCAGCCTGTGAGACCGGGACCAGTGATGAAGTTGGCGGCGAGGAAGGCGACAATGCGCTGGCCGGTGTTGTGCGCGTCGGTGTCCGCCATCGCGAGCAGAGCGAAGTTGCGCATATGGGCGACAATGTGAACAACAGACATCCAGACGATCATCCATCCCGTGGCCTTGTGGAACAAGATATTCTTGTCGAAGGGGATAATGTCGTTCAGGGCAGTGCGGCGGAGGAGAGACACGAAGTTACGGCACACAGGCAGGAGGATCATAGCCGCGTCGACGTGCAGAACCAAAGCCGCTGTACGGGCGATGGCTGCAGGACCTCTTTCAGTAACCAAATTCACGTCATAACCGCGGCGGACTCACGGAAAGTGATGCCGAACGTAGCACGCGCGGTGACCGAGTTGTCCTTCAGGTCATAGTGAAGGAAACCGAGGACAGCTACGATGAGGTGGAGGAAGATCCAGACGTAGAACGTGATACGCCTTCCGCCCTCATTGATCATCCACATCTTGTACCGCTGCAACAGCGTCTTGGGTTTCTCAGGCGCCTTGGGCATCGTGCTGCCGTTGGTGTTGCTGCGCTGCAAGCCCTGGAGCCGGCGACGCTCCGTCTTGTTGCGCTGGAGGTGACCTGGCTCAACGCCGCCGTTGGCGTACACGTTGGGCATGTCCGGGTGTTGGTCGAGGGCGCTGGAGGCCCTGTCGGAGAAGTCAAGCCCCGAGGAGCGCTTGCTGTTGTAGGCCATGGCTTGGCTCTAGGGCGACGTGGTAGTCGTGTTTAATTTAGTGGAAGTAGTCGATCGATGTCCTGCACGGCGCTGGGCGAGTAGGGTCGAATGGGTAAGGACCGGCCTGCGGGGAACAGGGAAGGAGTGAGGACGAGAAAGAAAAGGGATCCTGTGGCTCTGATCCCGTCTGTCGCGGGCTGATGAGCGTTCTGACCGGCCGCCTTTGCTGGGGGTCGCCATGCCACCGCCTTCCAGGCCGTTCCCAGTCGCCGCCTCCGCCTTCCAGACCTGATGCTCATGGTAATCCTTGTCTTCGCACTCGTTGCCTCGCACGACGCAACGTAGTCCGTAGCGCCGTCTCAGTTGCATTGACGAGCAATATCAACCAGCTATGCGACTCTCTTCGTGGCCACTGCTGGTCAGACATCTAACAAATAGCGGTGCACCGACCGCGTCTGAGATCAGAGCCCTGCAACATCCCGGATTGATCGTCTACCCGCGGCAGCCGCTGCCGAATGTAATCAGGAATAGTCGACTGCCCCAGTAGTCATCAATGCTTTGCGACCACTCGCATCCATCTTCGGCTCACGCTCAGCCTTTGCGTCCGGCGGTGACATCGACAACTATTCACGGACACTTCTGCACAGAAATACCCCGGCGCTTTGCGTGTGCGTCCCCACGGATCTGACGCTCATCATCAATCGACAATCTTGCATAGCTACCAAACCCTCGGGCCCTGCGGTGGGTCGCCGGCCAAGCAACTTCCACGGACACGCAGGATAATAAACGCAGCAAACTGGCAGCAAATCATCAAAGCGCGTCCTGCACATTTGATACGCAGTGGTGCTTATACCCGTCATGAAGTACCAGTCGAGTTACACGGTGCTAAAGGAGATCATTGACATCCATGCACTGCCGATAGATTATGATAGTGACCCACCAGATAGCCCGGTGTAATTCACAACGTTCTTGCATATCAGCTCGACGCTCGCGCCAGCAGGGGGGGAGACATCAAAGTCCGCGAACTTGATGTTCGGACAAGGCACAGCGGGGCTGCACTCGATATCGACAACTGGCAAGGCGTCAATCAAGCAGTTCGCGGGCAGTTCATCGCACACTCACGTTTAGCAGTTGCGGCCGTGCCAGTGAAATCCTCAAATGCCACATTGCTGAACTGCAGCGTCGACGGCGCGTCTCCGCTATGCGCTCCGTTGGTCTGGTACAGGGCCACGGGCTTGTTAACTCTGTCAAGCTTGGCATGCTTGACGACGACGTTCTTGACATGACCAGTCGCTCCTCCTCCACCAGTCGGAGGGACGCCATTCACAGTGCCATCCCATGATTTCAAGTAGACGCCGTTCTGCATGTTCGGTTGAATGGACGAGTTGAGCCGAATGAGGTGGAGGTTTTGCATGGTGACGTTCTCCACGATATCGGGTAGGTCAACATATTGGCCTAATGAACCTGAGATAGCTTCCGTTAGGTTGCCACTATGCTGAGGACAGCTAGTACTCACCGATGGCGATGCCATTTCCTCCTCGGCAGGTGACACCGTCGATGAAAAGATTTGTCGAATTCTATCCGACGCTGTGTCAGCGAGATCAACATGAAACGTTCTGTCCTCACTCCTTTGATTGCCAAGCAATCGTCTCCGCAGGTGATCTACAAGACGTTGAGAACCGATGTCGGACAAATAAGTAGGCATAGCCACGCACATCCCAGTTCTTGAGTACGACAGAATCCGAGCGATATGTATCGATACCATCCGTGTTTGGCACAATGCTAAAACCGGGTTGGTCATGGTCATCTTTTGAAATCGGAAAGATGCTGCGCTCACTTCTTCCCTACCCATGCAGGATCGGTGTTGGTCGCGTTGCAGTACATCCCGTCATACACGACTTGTGTACTTTGGGCAACTGTGTTGCACCAGAACGGCTGCGCCTCGATCCTGAAATCCTTCACAACGCCCCTCGTGACGTTGCTTAACGTAAGTGCGATGGGCCGCCCGTCGCCGTCTTCGCGCGTGCGATTTGCATAGTAGCTCCACCAGGGCTGACCGTTGCCGTTGATACCGCCGGTGTTGTGGGCGTCGACAAGGAAGTCAGACCCGGTGAGCACAAACCACGAGGCTTGGTTTTGGATGAAGACGACGCGGTACGTATTGGCGGCATCGAGCCAATATTGGATGTCGGGAATAAACTGGACACATGTTGAACGGAGATCAGGAGATATCCAAGGGAATATATGCGCTAGCACATACGCTGAGGTAGCCATTCAGATGTACCTCGGAGTTCTTGAGATGCCAGGTCATTTTTCTGAACGGCAAGGTGAGCTCATACGAAACTAAGGGATGCAAGGGACGCACGCACCTTGTGATATTGTACTCCCCCTCCGCAAATGTGGTGATGCCACCGTGCCCACACTTCGTGATAGCGGCTTCAATCTGGGCACAACATCAGCAAGAGGTCGAGGAACGATGGCACAAAAGAAAGCGTCGCTACACCGAACTGCAAAATGCTCTTCTGCTCACCTGGCTGGTATCATCCTTTCCCTTCCCTAGCGGTTTGAGGTGGCACTGTAAATGCTTGTTCGACGCAGACGGTCGCGAGTCCGCAAACGCAGGACCAGACGCGTACGCCTGATGCAGCAGCGACACCAGTGCCAAAGATCCCTGCAGCCACTTCATCCCGAAAGCCGCTGGTGAAGATTGTTGCCTTGTCTGCCTTTATACTGCGGGCGTCACTGCGCCAACGCGTACGCGCGGAGCCGTCCAGGTCATGACCTCCGGAGCGGTAGCAGACGATCCTGTGACTGGAGACATGACCTCGAGGATGACTTCGTCGGGGAGAAGAGCAGAGGGCGCGCCGGCAAGCGGCGGGCCGCACGCTCCGCTATTTGCGGACGCATCATAATTACACTCGAAGCTGTAGGCCGGGGACGCATGACCTTGACCGCATCGTTGTTCCAGACGTTTCGAAATTCTAGTGATACATTCCCATAGGTATCGCAGCCTCCGAGGTGCAACACGCCGCAGCCTATCGATAGATGTGTAATTTACTTGAAGATTTGGCCTTTGAAACCAGGGAGGATAGTGGCCCCATCCTTATACTCGCCCTGTGCTTGTTGCCACTTTTGCTTGCTGAACGTGAACTCTGCGACGGTGATTAGTTTGCACACACGGGACCATGCAGCATCAGGCGTTTCTAACCTTCCATGGTGGGAACGTGAACACCTTCCCTTTCGAACTCGTTCTGGGTGTACCCCTCACGTTTCAGGACTGGGCTATCGACAGTCGAGAGGACGAGGTCGTTGCGAGGACTGGTGAAGACAGCGTAAGCAAGCTCGGCTGGCACCAGAATGGCTATGCTTACCGAGCAAAGTACAGCAATCCCAAACGGTCGACATGTTGTTGGTCCTTAGGTGGGGCTGCGACACTGCATCCAGCGCACGGGTCAGCCCATCCGTGTATATGAATGTATAGGAATGCGGACCGATGAATGGTCGACTTGATGTATCCACCAGTCAAGAACGACAAAGCGTCACAGGTGTTGACGGTGAGCGTACCGTCTTGCGGCTTTACCCACTTCCACTGCCCAGTGAGATGATCCTTGATTTGCAGGGCCGCAACGGGTTGCTGAATTTGCAAATAATATTCAGACGGGGTGCGTAATATCACCCGATAAGGTGCTCACCCTGAAGAGCAGAGTGATGGTGCCGAGATCTGTGTGCCCCTGGCCCCAGATCCCACCAATCTGCTTCGTCTCCTCTGCCGTGTACTTGGAATACTTCATGTAGCGTAGATGATCCTCGCTCTTGTCTTCGTACCGGTGTCGGCTGGTGAAGTAATCTTCCGGAAGTTCGAGGGCCAGCGCGATTAGCGTATGCAACGGGTCCAACACCTCCGAATGCAGCGATCTCGCGAACTCTTCGATCTCCTCGATGTGGTCTGCGACCGGCGCGGGGTGGTTCTGAGGGAAATCGCCGTTGAACTCTGACGGTGCAAACTCTGATCAGCGCAATCGGATCCTTCTCGTGCATAGGATCACCTACTGGGGATGTTATAGACTTCCGTGCGGTCACGGAGGCCGCCTTGGATGATCCGCCGACCGGCAGGGCGGTACCCGTTGTACTGCCCGTTGTCGAGATCAGGAACGTACTTCAGCTTCTCCTCCAAAGGAAGCTCATAGAACGCCTGGCCGATGGCGAATTGACGATTGACGCGCTCCTGGGAGATGTTGAAGTTCTTCACGTAGAAGAAACCTAGGCAAGGTGAATTAGTCATTGATTTCCGTATCTTCGTAGAGGAAGTACCGAAGGTGCGAATGGCTTCGATCAGCGTCTGCGCGAGCTGTCGCTTTCCCTCAGAAGTACTAACGAGCGAGAGGTCGATCGTCGGTACTGCAACAGAAAGGTTCGTGACATAGCTTCAGTCACTCCGAGCAAGTCATACGTACAGTCTGCCCAGTCCAGATTCTCCTTCGTTTCTGCGACATGGTTGTAGGATGAGAGAGAGGTAGGTGCGCCCATGATGGTCAGAGAGGTTGACGAGTGCTGAGCTCGCCGCTGAGTCACTTAACACGGCTGGCTGCTTTTGCACTATATCTCTCATGTAGATATAGACAGGCCAATTGCGTGCTCTGGGAGGCATAATACACCATCGCCCCCAGCTTGGTCATGTTACAGTATTGAGTGGACCGGAACGCATTTACCGTGCAGCTCGACGGAGAAAGGCTGCCCTCCGAGAGATAAGCCCCAGTTGATAGGAGGTCCAGATGCATCTGTCAACTTCGATCCGCCTGCCGTTGAGTGGGATACGGAATGCGATTCGTCGTGCAGTTGCACACAATCCTCAGATATATACGCGCGTGTCTGTAGCCTACGCTGACGCAGTCCGAGCCTACCAGTCGTATGCTTGCCGGGTCTGGCAACGAAAGGAACGTCCTGTATCAGTGCGAATATCGCCGACGTCGAACTCAAACAGAGAGGTAGTGCTCAGAGGGTGCCAGGATGGTGCAAGAGCCAAGGAGTGACGCGCCATCCCGCCTCACGCGGGCCGCGTCTCGGACTCGTTGGAGTCGGCGCGATGGCCGAACGGTTCCTGTCTTCGACTTCTGCACCTCTGAAGGCGATTCGGCAGATCTTCCGGGACCAGGTACAGATAGTCGCCCAGCGTTTGCGCCATTTCATCCTTGCATGTCCTCAGCCGCTTGGATCCCTCCTCTTTATCATGGACTCGTTTGCTGCGTCGAGGATGATTGTGTTGCGCTTCGCTCACTCTCGTTCGCAACCCGATGTCCTCTATCATATCTCGCGTTCGGCGGAATCCCGTAGGGAATGTCCTCGTCGATGTCTTTGACTGTGAGTTATCGTCCAGCATGTTCCGTTGCCCATTCTCATACCAGGATGGGCGACAGGGTACCCGGCGCATCTGCCAGCCGCCGAGCGCAAGCTCTTGCGAAAACTCGATCTTAGCATATTGGTTTTTGCAAGCTTAAGCTGTCAGTGGTCGCAATCAGCTCCGATGGGATGCATGCTCACCGCGATTGGGTTTAGTTTTCTGCAAATACCTTGATCAATCCAACATTACCAATGCGTGGGCATAATCATACCACGTCTCAAAGACGCCTAAATCTGACCCGATGATAGCTACGTATCTGGAATGAAAGAAGACATCCATGCCGATGGCAACGCTCTCAACTACTTCACTGTGGCATGGACCACTGCGTATGTGATTGGGCAAGTGCCGTTAGTGTCATTACAGAGTCGACCTGGCATGTGAGTGGCATACTTATGCAGAGTGACATGACACCTAATCACTGGGTCCTCAGTGCCCCGTATTTCTTGCCCACTCTAGAAATCATATGGGCGATCCTCACATTCTCTCAGAGCCGGGTGACCAAGCTTTGGCAAATGTATCTTCTTCGCGCTTTGGTATGCGACCCGATCAACACGTCCCTGAACCTCCACTGATGACTGGCATAGGTCGGGTTTTTTGAGGCTCCATCTTTTGCCGGGACGCATCTCATCCTTGGAAGCTGGTATAAACCAGAAGAATTATTCAAGCGCGCTGGGTATGCTCCAAATTTCCCTCCTGCTTACGAGTAAAAGCTGATCAGACTCGCTGGTTCAGAACGTGGTTCATGGGCAACTCCCTTGGATCAATGTTCAGGTATTGTCCTCTGAAAAGTGTTGTACATAGAGGCTCAGCCCCTCCTTTCGCTTCAGCGGGTATTTGCAAGCTGCAGCGTACAAAAATCTCAATGGAGTAATGGGGCTCAGTGGTTGGCAATGGCTCTTTGTTATCGACGGTAAGCCACCCCTACCTTGGTAGATACTGATTGACCGATAAAATACTGTCCAGGTGTCATCACACTTCCCATTGCATTTTTGGGCTTCGCATTTTTCCGTTAGTAAACGTCCGAACATTCTGTCAAGATCCGCGCTCACCTTGTTTCCGCTGTAGCCGGTCTTCCAAATTCTCGCAAGCCGTGGTTCTTCACGGTCGACGAATACAATCTTGCAAAGACTCGCCTCGGGCGGGACCACAAACAAGCAAGCCGCGAAGGCGTCTCGTTCAAGTCGATCAAAAGGACTTTGACCCGGTCCAAGATCTGGTACCTTTGTGTTGTGATTTACATTTGCCTGATACAAGCGCATTACTGGACGGGTTATATGGCGCTGTGGTTGAAGGTGCTTTTTCTGCCGGGTACCCCTACGAACGCTTTGATAGGGTGCTGACCCTTTTGAGCAGTCTGAGGCACCGAAGTATTCAGTACCGCAGATCAATACGCTGCCAACGTTCATCAACCTTATCTCCGCCTTTTCCTCCTGGTTCGGCACAACCGTTGCGGGCATTGTGTCGGTTTGGAAACTCTTTACGATCCCGCAGATCTTCTTGACCTTCAGGTTCGTCCCACCGTTCGTCCGGGTTCATGAACATCGCTCATATTGGTCCTGCTTTACAGTTTGATCGTTCTTACGATATGGACCGTGCCGGATGGCCTCAAGTTCTTCGCATTCTATTCCAGCGGCCTCTCAGGCATGACGAGCCCCATATTGTACTCCTGGATCAATACAGTGCTTAGAGGGGATACCGAATCAAGGGCGTTCGGTATGTCCGCTCATTGACATCGATTGAATACCAGTTCTTACGATTGGTGTAGTGTTCTCTTCGATGATGACGCTTGGCTATTGGTAGGTGATAACCTTGATGAGTATTCTAGGCCTGACCTGGTTCCCAGCACCCAGATATGGGTTCCGTTGTTTACCTTCCCCACCGTCGAGGCCCCTCGGTTCCCCCACGGGTACCCGGCATCGCTCGCGTTTCTTATCGCGATGTGGGTGTTGATGATGCTCGGGTGTTACTGGTGGAGGGCACCGGGCTCTGCGAACATACCCAGAACCGAGGAAGACCCGGAGGAGTTCAAGGGAGATTCGTACAGCGAAGGAAGTTTGGAGGAAGGGAAAGATGAAGTGGAACTTGACAAATCGAGCTTGGACGCAGAGCCAGCACTGCACGGTGAACATGATGAGCGGAAGTAGGCAGGCGTCGGTCGCGACGATCTGCGACGGGTATCAGCGACAGCTCAATAGATGTGTAGATAAAGATTTCCTTCACGATCATCCCATTAGCCAGCGAAACAGAGCGAGGCACTATGCTTCCTGAGGGGCGTGCTGGACCGCCATACGAGGTAAGCTCGGTGCTGTCGATGCACCGTGCTGTATCATACTGTATATACGTACGTGCCGGCCTTGAGGACGTGGATTCTATTCTTGGCTTTGATGTGAGAAGAACACAGTCATGGGGCAATTCCAGTTGTCATCGAGATCTGCAGTTTGTCCTCGACCGTATGTAGATTCAACATCAATTCAACATTGTGACTCCGTCGCATATCTCACGGGGAGTCCCCAACGAAGCGTTCAAGCACGGGCCGCCCGTATTTCTCTCCCGCAATGTCTCCCCCAACAGCTCTGGCTCTCTAAAGAAAGCGGCGTAAGCAGGCTGTACGGGTTGGAGACATGACAAACGCGAGTCAGAGCGCTGTGTCTGTGAAGCAGCCTGTAGACATCCCGGGACATCTCAGATCTTCTTTTGGCATTTGCCCTCGCCGGCGCGGGTTACTGTATCGCCCCTGCGCCGAACTGATCTAAATATAAACACCTCTGTTATGAGAATTCGTGAAGGAGCCAAGGATGCTATATCGCTATGAACTTATACTCGTCGCTCGAAGATCTTCGTGTCTCGGTCAGGCTGAGTGCGACATGAAGGATACATGTCAGACTGCTGTTGTATACACGTGTTCACGACAATAGCGCCGGGATGCTACACTGCGGTGCTTTCCAGTTCCGGATGACTTGCACAGGTATCGGTGCAGGAAAGCGGTGTTCATTTGTGTGAACAAGGGATGCGGGGGAGGGCGCTGACGGTCGCATAAATACCGATTGGGCCTGAGCCCCTGTGCAACCTAACCCATCCTCGACCTGCAATGTTCGGACATATCGCCCACAAGATCGGCGGGAAATCCAAGAAACTGTTCGGCCGCGAGCCATCTCCCAGCTCACCGGCGACACCGACTCGTCGAACGCCACCTTCGCCTCCGTCTTCCAGCTCCAACGTCCGGTCGGCAGCTGAAGCCAAGAGCACGCAGCCTATTGCCCCCAAGGACGCACCAGACGTGCAACAGGACGCGACGGTTGGTAGGACGGGTGGCGCCGTTGTAAGCGGATCACATACTTATAACTGATTCGAATAACGATCAAACCGTTATCCGAGCAGCAGGAGGAATCATCCGGCTCTCACTCTGCGAATACAACGTCTGCCATGTCCAGCTCGCAAGGTCTGACGACCGTGCCGTGTCAGGTCAGACCTGATCCGCCCCCTATCTGGGGCTTGGTGATGTGGATGCAATCATGCTGACGGATGAGTGGTTGATCTATTAGTACCGAACAGGGAAGACATTGGGCAGCGGAACATACGCTATCGTGAAGGAGGCCGTGCACATCAAGACGGGCAAGTACTATGCATGCAAGGTCATAAACAAGAAGCTTATGGAGGGCCGGGAATACATGGTACGCGATACCCTATGACTGCAACGCGTCGTCATGGCTCAGCCTGGCGAATGACATAGGTCCGGAATGAAATCGCGGTTCTCAAGCGGATATCCAGCGGACACGCCAACATTGTAACCTTGCACGACTACTTCGAGGTCAGCAACCGATCCGATACTGCCACTCCTTTACTGCCACTCCTTCGTTCTAAACCGAGCTTCACCTAGACCGCCCACAATCTCTATCTCTGTTTTGATTTATGCACGGGAGGCGAGCTATTTGACCGCATATGCGCCAAGGGCAACTACTATGAAGCGTATGCACTATCACCCCTTGATTTTCTGGACACTCAATTCAACTCGTCTCGTTCAGGGACGCCGCTGCTCTTGTACGCACCATCTTGAACGCCGTTAAGTACATCCACGACTGCGGGATCGTACACCGCGATCTCAAGCCAGAAAACCTACTCTTCCTCACGAAGGCCGAGGATTCCAACATCATGATTGCCGACTTTGGCCTCAGTCGTATAATGACGGAAGACAAATTCAACCTCCTGACTGAAATCTGTGGCACACCAGGCGTGAGTCGCAGGGCATTATCATTGAGTTCTTGTATAAACGCATCTACCTAGTACATGGCACCGGAAATATTCAAGAAGGGTGCGGACGGACTTACTCTTCCATTCGCCATCTAGATGCTGAATGGCCCCGTTGCACTGCAGTTGGCCATGGGAAGCCGGTCGATATCTGGGCCATCGGCGTCATTACCTACTTTTTGCTTTGCGGCTATACTCCTTTCGACCGTGACACACAACAAGAAGAGTCGGAAGCCATCATGGCTGGTGATTACAAGTTCGAGCCCGGTGAGTCCTCTTGGTTATGTTCATCAACGAGTGTTGTCAACGTTCGCGTGCCAAAGAGGAATACTGGGCCAATGTTTCACCAATGGCGAAAGATTTCGTCAGCTACTGTCTGACCGTCGATCCGAATGACCGTCCCACTGCCGAGCAGGCTCTCGCTCACGGGTGGCTCGCCGACGAGAAGCCGCACTTCGTTCCAGATCCTGAGAGCCCGACCGGCGGCCCAACTGATCTCCTGCCGAACATGCAGAAGGCCTTCAATGCGAAGAAGACTTGTGCGTAATCGTGTTCCTCAGACTGCGACCGACGCTCACGTTACACGTAGTCCGCAAGGCCGTCCTAGGTATGATGGCGATGAAGCGTATGACGATGGGTGCCGCATCACACATGACTGCGGACGAAGTCCACGCTATCAATCGCAACGTCGCCCAGTACAAGGAAGAGTCCGAAAAGGCATGTGCATGTCCGTGGCTCTCAGTCTACAACTTTCCAACCGTCTCTGCAGGAACAAATCGACTCGGAGCAGCACGTCCAGCGTTTCGAGAGCGAGGAGGCGGACTCGTTGAAGAACCAAGACGATGCGGCGTCACCCAACGCTCGAGCTGTGTCTGGAGACGATTCGACTTATGGATCAGCCTCAGGCACCGAGGTTTCGGGCATGGAGAAGATGTCATTGGACGGGAAGGAAAAAAAGGCGTGAACATATCAACCCAACTAATACCGCTTGCACTTGCTTCTTGCTATTCCGTTCTTGCATTCAGAATTCGTGTACACTATGATCGAAGTGAGTTCCGTATCACGATTACCGCCCGTTTCGCCCCCAGTCACTGCGTACAAGTCCAGTAGTCGATGAGGAGCACCCGCTCGGTCATCGATCAATGAGCCTCGAAAGCAACGATTGAAATGCCGCAGGTATATCCTGAGTGTTGGCGACGTTGAACGCACGTCCGGGGAATTGGCGGGAGACCCTGGGCGGGGCCAACATCAGAAACGTCGGACATATGCGGTGTAGCATAATTACCATGCAGCCTCAGAGCTTTCACCGATGCATATCAAGGCAGTATTCACTTTCTTGTCTTTGTCCATCGCTCGTTTGAGGTCTTGGGGTGTGATATTGTATCTCGCAAAATTCGCATCCGTGATAGCAACCACAATCCATTCATCTGCATAGGACGTCAATCTCAAGTGCCTCTGATAGCTTGAGAGACATACCAGCATCGTATTTCGCAACCTCCGTGACAGCCTTCTCGATCGCCTCCACTAAAAAGAAAAGGTGTTTGCGCCTCTCGAGCTATAAATGACAAGCACATACCGGTATGGTCACCCGCAAAAGCATATTGTGTTATCATGTTCATCTTCTCCACGACTTTCCAGCGATCTCTCGTGTCCGCTGGAGGTTTCTCAAGCTCGACCAGAGGAATATCGGCTCCGTCGCCCGACTAGACAATTTGCGGGTCAACTACGGTCACTGTATATCGGCATTGTTCTGAACTAACATGCCCGTATATCTAGCATACATCTTATCAGTAAAGATAGGAAATAATCAAGGGAAGTACCGACATCCCAGGCGTATTTATCAGGTCTGGCGATACGTTGCAGGCTCTCCATGAGCATCACCGCTAAAATGGATTTAGCTCCAGCGTCGTCATTCATGTTCCCGTCGCTGTTTACCTGTCTCGAGGCTTCTTCGCAGACGACCGTCATTCTGAAACCGATACCTTAACGTTTTATCAGATCATGGCCGAAACCGGGACACGGTCCATATACCCACATGGATCCGCTTAGATCGAACAAAAACCTGATTCGTTTCGGTCTGATAGAAAGTAGTCAGCGTCTACGTTGAAAGAACTGTTCAAGCATAGTCATTACTTGATCTGAGGTCTTCCAAGCTCCGGCTTATCAACGCCTCTTCGTTTGTATACAGTCGCCTCTCCGGTCAGACCCTCAGTGAGACGACTCTCGTCAAGTTCGCCGTCTGTTTGCCTTTTCACCTGAAGGCAGTCAGTGGACGCACACCTATCTGGTCTACCCCGCCATACCCAAACTCTTTCTTCCTCTCTGGCTGCGAGATCTGCGCCAAACACAAGTCAGGCTTTGGATTGTCAACCTATGGAATACGCCGACTTTCGAGAAGATCGTGCAGGCGGACGATGTGAGGTTCAACTGCCGACATCAATGCAGCGTACCCCTTGGCCTCCAAGGTGCTCATGTTCAACTCTGTGATTCCGTTGTTTTGTTTGTTTGGTAATAAGTTTATGAACGCACCCTCCAATCTACGAGCGAGTTCTTGTCTGGCCATATCTCTCGCTTGCTCCTTGATCTGCTCAGGCACTTCATTCTTCAGCTGGTCTGAGACCTACGACGGGATTAGGTGATTATGCGTAGCTCATCGACAAAGTAATACCTGATATACATCATGGCCTTTGAACAGGCGCATGTAACCTCCACGTCCACCCAGTCCAGCAGTGTCTCGACCTCCTACCTTGATAATCCATGAGCAGGGTTCGCTGAGGCGAGGATCGCGGCATAGGTTTCTACGTACCCCTCCTGCCCAAGTATTGCCACCGATATGCGGTTCGTTGTTGGGGTCATCTTTACCATGATTTGGTTTGTCGAGGTCGGCCGAACCCTTAGGGTCAAATCTCAAGTCAAGGACCTTTTTGCGTGCCTGATCTCTGGCGGCATGTAGTCCGATATGGTTCACGGACAATCTTACATCATCACAGTCAACGGGGCCCTCAGAATCTTCAGACCATAGGACTGACCCATGATCCTGCAATATCTGAGCTAGTTTGTGCACGGTCTCCGGCTTCGCCACGTCAAAATCGAAGACATTCCTCAATGAAGTCTCTAGAGAATCCTCTGGGTATGCTTGAAGATGGCGGACCAGGTTTATGAGCTCTGAGCACCAGTAAGTATCACTTTCTGACTTGAGACAGTAGCAAACCTAACCCCTGAGGGAATACGGATAAGTTAGGGTGTTGATTTCGTATGCGCGTCGCAAGTCGTGGAACACGCCGATGAGTCGCAGCATCAGATCCTCGTCCAACTCAGGAGCGAGTTGCGACAATAAACGTCTTTCGGAGTGAATGTCCGGGTTCATCACGGCGTGCCTGCGCATGCGCTGTCTATGAGAAACTGCATACCGAGCATAGGATGGACTTGCTTACAAACTGAAGTTATCGCCGAGGACCTGCAGGAAATGGTTGCCGAGGAAAGCTATTGCGCCCGCTCAGCGGTGATACCACCTTACTTTCTAAATCTACTCACGATAGCCGGGACGATTAGCGAGCAGCACAAGCCGGAAGTTAGGATGAAGAACAATATCTCCCGGGCGGTTGTACGCTGAAGAGATCCTGCGGCCATCCGGGAGCGACATCTCTCCCTGAGCAGCCAAGCTCCGGAAGACAGCGACAACGTGTTCGGGCTGTGAAAGTCGTCGTCGTCAAATCATGCGGTCATGACGGAGAAGGATCAGACAACAACGAACGGCTTTGTCCGCTTCGTCGACGACGACCACACGGCCTAGCTTGATTCCGCGCAGGAGTGGTGAGTCTTGGTACCGGATCACACCACTCTCTACGGTGGTCTGAAGCATGATTTGGCTGACAGTAGAGTCTCGATGTAATTGCATGTATTCTCGCGGGCGTCCGAGCATTTCTAGAAGTTTATCAATCATCGCATTCTTACCTACGCCCTGCAGTATTGCACCAATGATCATCTCTTCATGACTCAGCCATCATATAACTCGCACCTGATTACCAAGCAGTACGAGATGCTCTCCGAGGAGTTCCAGGTCAATGGCCATTTCTCGCATCAAACCCGACTGCAGGCTATTCTCGTGAAAGCGGGTAACATGTGGAACATATGACGATACGCCTTCCGGATCCTCGTCGGGGTTGAAGCGGGCTATCGCGACTGCTTGAAACGTCTTGCCAGAGCCAGATGCCGCTGGGAAAATCAATTTGTCCTCTTCACGCACAGGCGCCGGATTATACTGAGTGCATGGCATGAGTAGTGATTTGCTTTCAGGTCATAGCTATGACTTGCCAGCGCAATTCTCTTCAGGATGCCGCATTCTTCCATAAGAGTTTCCACGTCTAATCTTTCGAGAGAGGGCATAAATTCCGTCATGATGGCGCGACTAAGCATGGAGTGCAGATCATCATCCCATGGTAACCTCCGAGTGATCCTTATAAGCGACCTCGTCCCAAGTTTGCGATTCTTTTGCACAACATCGGAGGTCATCCGTTCCCGGTATCTCTGAGCGAAATGTACCAGTTGACTCGCAATTGCCGTTGGACAGGTCGTTGCGAGGAGGATCTGCGTCTCCTCGGTCGTACCCATAGGAAGGGCCAGAATCGGAAAGAACATGTTTGCGTGCTCGATAGTGAGCCAGTCTCTGAGAGGAACTGATTTGGAAGGCGTGCTGATGATCCGTAGTGATGGCGCGGTGATGGCCAGCTCCGATGTAGCCTAGTAAAACGACCTCAGTACAGAGCACACAGCGCAAAAAAGAGCCGAAGCTCCAATCGCGAACCTCGTCTTGAGCTATCTGAGCAACGATGCGTTTGCCGTGCCAGAGCTCCAGCTCTCTGTCCTGTAAGAGACGCGCAAGCGATCCTGCGGTCGATCCGATTGCATCAGTTCCTTCGAGGTGTATTAGACGGTCTTTCGCAAGGCTCGCCGATATCAAGGGGCTAATAATTCTTCTAGTGAGCCTGTGAGATCGCATGAACGCGACTGAGCTCACCTGGGTTCCCATGAAGAACTACCGTCCTCTGCAATGTGTCTCCGCATCACCAACTCACGTCCTCCGAGGTCCTTGTACAAATGGATTGACTCCATATCGTACCCTAAAAGCTCGGAGAAGGTACGAACTAGCAGAGATGTTGAGCATGAAGCAGTCGATGGCATGGCTGGAGGGATGAACGACATATCGAAGTCAAGGGCATGACCTTGCAGGAGGCAAGTCAATAAGCCCAGGAAACGTCCCGTAGGCAGGAAGTCCGGGAGTTTCTGAAGGGGGAAAGCCCGGAAAGGGCGAGATCCAGCAGCGACCTTGCAGATGACTGTAGCAGAGGCCTGCGAATTCTGGAAATGCACCTTCGCAGAGGTTGCACTGTCCCGCTCGATATGGGCTAGACGGTACCCTAGCAAACCGATATCGGTCTCTGTATCTGCTGATGCAGGGCTACCAAGGCGACTTATCCCTGCTTCCTCCATTTGCCGACTCAACAGTGCCCAGACTTGAAATGGCGCGTGCAGTAATGATGGATGCAAGGTTAGGATCAGACGCGCCATCTGTGCGGGGGATAGTTGAGCGGGAGCCGGAAAACGAGTTGCGAGCGCCGTTAATTTTGCGATCGCAGTTTGAGGGAATGGCGGGAGGGTCGACCTCGAAACTGCTTGCAATGCATCGTGAGACTCATTCGCAAGTTGCGTCGCGAGGATGATTCCACGTAGCTTCTCGACGAGAGATGCAGACTCTTGGCTGAGACTGATTGTCGATTTACGAACGAGTGCCTGAGTAGCGCCTACAGGATCGATGAAACGGGCCTGAAAGCGACTCCGAAATGGCGGGTCGAGGGGATAGCCGGGAAAAGGAGGTACTGGCGCGCCTATGGCAATAACACGAAAGTTCTTGTGCGCGGGAATGAATGCTGCAGCAATTTCCCGAGGGGTCTCCATCAGTGCGCGACGGTGCGGATGCACAATATGCGTTCCATCTTCAAGATTCCTACGCTACACCGTTGAATTGAGGGCATTACAAGTTATGATCGATTACTGACATTTCCCTGTTTTCCAGGAGATTGTTGAGGAGCTACATACAAGACGGTCAGCATGTTTTCACATGGGAATATGTGCATACTTACCGGCATTATCCCTCGCTCTGCCTTCTCAATCCCTTCCAATATCAGGATACGACCATACTTTGCTGCACGGACAGTGGCGCTGTCCACGTAGTTCAGAGTACCTCCGGCCTTGATTTCTCGTCCTTGCTTCAGCTCCGTCTCTCCCACGTCCCGATGAAGCGCAACATGTTCGTATTCAGTGTTGATCAACCTAGGATTGTTACTTGTCTGCCAAATATATGGAGCGTAGCACGCTCACCGGCAAAATGTCATGACGAGTCTCCTCGCATACGGCCCTGGTTGCGATAACAGAAAAACATCTTGCCCAAGCAGGTATTTCTGCAAGAGGAAATGTAAGTTGTCCAAATTGAAGTTATCCTGTACATCGAGAATCAAATGGTCGCCAAGGTGCGGCAGTCGACTGGGTGTCGCTGAAGGGGTGATGTCTAAGGTGATGTCTCCCAACTTGAGGGTACCAATCGTGCTGGTTTGGGCAGAGAGGCTCGATAAGATGCCGTTCAGGCGACGCGGTGCAGAGCCCATGGATCTCGACGGTAGCAAGGATATGAACGGCCTATGCGGCCTATGCGACTAGAGCAAGAGAACAGAACATCCACGTCCGGAGTTGGCTCCCGGGTGATGTTTACCGGATACCGTCCCCGAGGGATTTGGCCGGTGGCAGTCTCCGATCTCAGCAGGTTTACATATTCGTGCGCAGAACAGCGCAACGCTGATGTGTGGAGCCGGCAAATGTCACTGTGGGTAAAAACATGTGATACCAAGTCTCTCCTCCCGTTACTTATAAGGTAGACCTCATGCGCGTCCGACCCCATAGCACGCGACACGCGTGACATTAGACGTCATACGAGCGAAAAGTTGATTGTCTCCCGGTCTGAGTAGCTTTCGTTCGAGATGCAACTGGGGTTCTACGATAATGTACTGTGCCGAAGTTTGACTGCTGCTTTCGAAACGCAAGAATAAGATCCTCGGGAGGAGAGATGAAAACAAGACCGAGGCATGTGATGGACTGCCCTCAGTGCCAAGCCGTGCAACTTGGAGGTTTCTCCTTTCCGCCGCCGTCACAAAACCGGCACCGCTGTATTGACTATCTGGCATCCATTGAGCTCTGTGGCACGTCGGGGATCACGACTTGACGTTATGCCCTACAAGAAGGGCCATTTGCGCAAGTGTAACCTCGGCCAGTACGCACAACCTTGTCGCCGCCACGTTGGAGCTATCAGCACGGAGGAGAACAGAAAATGTATGTCGCCAGCAGTATATCCATCTTACCGTACTCAGTATGATGTCTACTAGTTTCCATGCCTCCAGTTACCCAACTGTCTTGCAGCGGCAGCGCGCCTCAATGAGGTTCAGGGATTGGTCACACTGCGTCACAGTCATGCCTCACACTCTCGCGCACCTTCTCTCCTTTCGCAGTTTGCACTCTCATCAGTAATTGTCAACGGTCATATCTATGTACAGGAGACATCTATAAAATGCCGGTAACACTTTCGGTGAGAGCTAGTCTAATTGAGAGTTATTTGAATTTTTGCACCTATTACGTCTAATGTCACGCGTGTCGCGTGCTATGGGGTCGGACGCGCATGAGGTCTACCTTAGTTACTTACTAGCCAGGCTCCTAAACCATCCGCTCGTATCGCGTTCTACTCCTTCAATCCTAGACGCCGGGCAATGCTAGATTCTAGTAGATGGGAAAGATCTTCCTAATATGTAGATGTATTATGTCATGTCCCAAAAAGGTTAACCGAGATTCCTTTTTGAGCCCTGTAACGAAGGAGTGAACGCGATAGAGCGGCTGGCCCAGATGGCAATTTCAAATTGCCTTGCCGCTCGGCACATCTCCGTAAGAACTATTCTAGGGCTCGGTTAGCAGTTTCATTAAGGTGCCCTTTCAGCTGAATAAACCATCAGCTTCCTCCGGATCAGGCAATGATTCCCGACGCATTTTGCACTCCCTGCGGGCTGCTGGTG